GCAAATAGTCGTTAGTGGTTCACAAACTGCTTTGAAGATCCGCTGCGTTAGTGTGGCTTTAATCTCTTTAACTGGCTTGTGTTCTGCTTGGAGACATTTAAGATCATTTATTTGAAATGTCTTTGCAACAGATTAGAGTTGATATTAGCAACATGAGAAACACAGTGGGCACCACCCACTGTGTCAAAACTGCTTCAAATGGCACTATTAGAAAAGTGTTTCTGCCTCAACATGATCAAGTTTATCTTCTTAACTTTAGCAAGATAAAATCAACATAACTTGTTATGTTGATTTTACATAAAATCAACATAACCTGCTGATTTTATTTTAGATAACTATTGTGAAAATATCTACAGTCAATGTTTCTCTGGAGGCTAGAATTTGGATCTATATTCAAGCTAGATGCAACTTTTACAGAAATATATTCACATATTTATTAAAACCGTCACCATGTCTTGACAGTCAAGTTTCTCCATCTCTGTGCTACCATTATGTGATAACCAATCACAGCCAGGAGGCGTGTCTTAGCGCTGTCAATCAATCTCAAGAACCTGCTGCTAAAGGTGCTAATGTCAGAGGATCAACTTATTGTTCCAGGAACTCCGTTATTTATTGGTAACTGTGCTAACTAGCTTTAGCATTGGTGACCCAGCTGTCGCTTAGCAAAGAATAAGAAGTAGGGGGTGAGTACAAGAGTGATTGACAGCACTAAGACCCTCCTTTTGGCTCCGATTGGTTGTGCATTTCTGCACTGGGAGAACTGGGAGCAGAGGAGCTTTTCACAGATTTTCTGTCTTGTATTTTCACCACTGAATAATGATTCTATCAAATAAGCACTTTTTAAAATAAAAGTTACGTACCGAGGCTTGAACAGTTTATGTAAACATTTCTTTAAGAGTTTCTCCAAAAACCAGAGTTTGTACTTCAGCAACAACAAAAGGCACATGTCCATCAAGCGCTCTGCTTTCTGTCTAATCTCATCAGTTTACGTTTCAAGTTTGTCGCGTGCAACAGAACAATGGAGTAGTGAGAACAACTGGGTTTGGTTCAGAAACCCGGTTGGGCAGAACCAGTCAGTGCAGCTTCACTTTCAGTTCTTTTTCAGGTCGTTTCTTCCCTCATATCCAGACTCTCTGAAACAGCTCAGCTGCTCCACTCCATATATTACTCTCCTTTAGTCTTCAAAATAAGGTTCCTTTTTTAAAACTCTTCACTGCTTTGAACTTTGACCCCATATGTTGCATCTTCTTTGCTACAAATAGGATGTATTAGTCAGAAATAGATCAGTCACAACTTCCTCATTGTCCAGTTTCACTTTTGTTGAGGAATTGTAATAATAATAATAAAAAAAAAAAACTTGAAAGGTTCATGCAGATGCTGCCAAACAGAAAGAAAAAAAAATACTGTCCATATGATGAAGATTTGTGCAAGTTGTCCAGCGTTAGCAGCAACCTGTAGGAGACAGGCGGTGAAGAGCCTCTGTGTCCTGGCAGTGGAGTCTGGCCTCATGTCGTAGTGGAGGAACATCTCTGGAGGAGGAGAGCGTGGCAGGTGTCACACACTCTCACCGGCTTGGGAGACGCAGGCAGAGGAAGCTCGTTGTCGGAGCAGCTGTTGCAGAAAATCTCCCCGCAGTTCCTGCAGTGGTGCTGCAAACAGACGTCCAGCTTCAGCCTTACAGCCCAGGCATTTAAACTTTAGAGGCTAAAGCTACGTTCACACTGCAGCCTGAAGTGACACAAAATATTAATTTCTTTTATTATTTTTTTGGACTAATGATTATATGTGATCCCCAGAGTGAAGTGCAAGGCAGGGCTGCACCAAATGCAGTTTTCTGGCCGATCGCTGATTACCAATCTTTTAAAAAGTCTAACATAGCGATTCTGATTTTGGCCAATACCGTTTTTTTTGTGTCTGAAATGTTGCTCAATAGTTGATTATTGTTAACTGTAAATGCACAGACATGACCTTACTGTCAAACCTGACAGTAAGAAGAGAAAAGCACAGTGGTTGATTTTTAGACGTTTTCAAAGGTTGATAACATTGGTGGATAAGATCAGCTAAAAGTTTGGAGTGCAGCTCCTCCAAAGGCTTCTCTTAGATAAAGTGATGTGGTTCGCATTCGTTGAAAAGATCAGCTACGGGTCACATTAGAGCACAAAAATTGGAATTGGTTCACTTCGGTCTGCAGTGTGAACGCAGCCTAAACGTAAAAGGGCTGGAACGGATTTACTGACTTTTCGTCTGGAAATGGAAAACTCCTTCTCACACAGCTTGCAGTGAGTCGCATCTTTATCCTTCAGCCACACCTGACCGCCCTGAAAGCAAACCAGTCTGATCACTTCACAAGTTACAGGAACACCAACACATGACGATAAATATATTGGAGAAATGACACAAAATGTGGAAAAACCTCGAGATGTTCCAACTGTTAGCATGACAAGTTTACAGTCATTTCACTCTAAAGGGTTTTATTGTTTAGATTAATTTTTCTTCTCAAAAGAAATTAAATTATAACGAGTCAGGAGTTATTTCATCAAGAGTTTCCATCTGAATCATCTGAATTACCAGCAGACTATTGAAAAACTTTATTTCTAGTAAACTGTAAAATTTTATCAAGTATTTCTGGTCTGATAGAGGAAATACTTTAGCACACTTGAAATAAGGAAACTAACATTCAAGTAACTTTTCAGCAAGACGTCGGAGTGTATTTAAAGTAAATCGACTAAGGAAATCAACTGGGAAATTGTTTCACCTACAAAACTTTTTTCACTTGTTATAAATGTTTTCCAGCAGAGATACAGAGATAAAGCCACAGAGATGAAGCCAGCTAGCCAAAGGGAGCAGAGTTTTTTAGATGTGCATCAAACACAATCAGTGTTTTTTTTTTTCTCTTTAGCTTAATCAGAGAGGAAACAGCAAGAACTGAACTTTGACCTTTTCATCAGCTCTAAAACAAACCAAACTGTTGGGCTGGGCTGGTTTTCTGATAAACTGAATTCAATCAAAATTAAAAATGTTCTCAATATGTCATTCTGAAAAAAAATATTCTGTACATTAAAGGTTTAATCTTTTGAACTGAATTACTGAAATAGCTTTTTTTCTTTAACTTCAGCATTTTACATTTAAAATGTAGAGGTTGGATTTCACCTGCAGGGCCTTGTTTGCTTCTTTTATGTCCTCAATCTTCAGTTTGGACCTGATGGACAAAAATAAATCAAAAACTGAGGATGAGACTCAAACACATTTAGTCAGAACCAAATGTCGCCGTAACGGGAGGGTTGTGTTATCTTTGGATAAACTAATAACTTTATGAGCGTTTCCGTACTCGCTAAGTTTGGAGCCCAGCTCCTCCAGAGCTTTCTCCTGGTCCTCACAGATGGTTTTCAGCTGGATGTTTTCTTCCTGGAGGCGGTGGAACTCCTGGAAAACAATCAAATGAAAAATTCAGCATACAAGCTGCTAGAAGTCATGCAGGAGACACAGAAGATACTTAAAAGAAATGTTTTGTTCAGTAAAACTGCTGGGAAAACATGGCGATGGCCCCATCAAACTGACCAGAACTGATCAAAACTAAAATATAACAGAATTGTATGTTTTGAAATATCTCTCAAACACTTTATACACTAATTTGACAAAAAAAAAAATGGATGGCTCTTTAAAACACATTTTCTTGTGTTTCTTGTGGATTTTTATGTTAATGCACACAAACCACTAAAGCTGACACTAGTGCATCGTAATATATACTGCCCACTACTGGCCATCCACTGCAAGTGTAAGAAAAATGTAAATTAAATCCAATATGGCCGACAGACAAAAAAAGTCCCTCCTCCTACTGTTATGGTAAAACAATATTGTGACATCAACTATCTCCTAAAGACCAATATTACTGATGTATTTTCCAAATAAAAACTTTGTATTAGGAAAAATTGCACCTAATCAGTTAAAGAAAAAATCCTAGAAATGTATTTTACTTTTTCCCCCCCACTTTTTTATGCCTTATAAACACAAAAAATACTGAGACAAAAGATCACAAACCAGCCATGAAAGAGTGAAGAACTTCATTCCAAACCTGGAAAACACCTGAAATTCAAGCATTTTCAAGCACCAGCCTTGTGCTCTGTGGTTACCATGATGACGTGTGAAAAGCCGCGAGGCGTTCAGTTTCTCCTGACCTTCTTGAGGCCATTGATCTGCAGGGCCTCGGTGCTGAGCTGGGACACCAGGTCTCTCTCTCTGTCCAGGTCGTTCTGCAACGTCTGTCTCCACTCGCGCTCGATCTTCAGGTCCGTCTCCAGCTGCTGCCTGGACGTCCAAAACCACCACACGCACAGACAAAAGAGGGGAAACAAAACAATGTCATTTTTTAACTCATTCACTGTTTGATTTAAAGAAGGGGGAACCAATCTGCTTGGTGAGAGTATTAAAATAAAGTGGAACTTTAGCTAAACTCCAGAGGTGAGTGATCTGAGACGGGGTTTTGCTTACAGCTGCTTCTCTCTGAGCTCGATCTGCCGCTGCAGGCTGTCCGCCTTGTTGGCAAAGTCCAGCTTGAAGCGCCTGGATCCCTCCACGGCGGAGCTGCGGTGCCTCTCCGCCTCCTGTAATCTGCACCATTATAACCAGGGAACAAACTCAGGACCGTGGAGAGAAAAATCTGGGAGGAGTGTGCGCACAGGGAGAAAATGAACCAAACAGGAAGGAAAAACGATGGACGGGAGGATGGGGTGAAGACATGGCGCTTGTTTTGGTGTGAAAAATAAAGAAAGGGCGGCTGAGGTTGATGTGGAAGCTGCCAGAAAGTAAAACGGGGTGCTGCAAACTGCTGCAAAACAACGGGGAAGAAATGAGTGAAAAATAAAGAAAATAACCCAAGTGCAGCTTTAGTGTGTAAAAAATCTTCAACATCTACAGGTGACTGAATGTCGTTTCATTAAATCGACTGATAAGCTGAAGGTACTTTAGATAAAAAGCTGAATAAAAACTCCAGTCACACTCAGGACTTTCAAAACACTTTCATTTATTGATCACTGTGGTAAAAGACAACAGTTGTGAGCTTTAACTAACAGGACTGGGTCTTTATTTCTGTCTAAAAATCCAAAGTTTTATAAACATATAAGTCAGAATAGTCAGAAGGATTATTATTATTATTATTTTAATATACCGTGTATCACAGAAGAAGTCAGTAAATATGCCGAAAACGAGAACAATGTTGATTTTTACGGCTCTGCCTCTGCAGCTCCCTGCAGTCTGTCGTTATTCTGCGCTTCATGGTGGAGCCCTGCAGGTTTTACCAAACTTTTAACTTTAACTAACAGCTGAATTACAGACAGTGAGGGCGGGGCTGGCGGCAGGCGCACGCGGGGTCGTCACAGCCACTGGGAAGCGGGTCAGGAAGTGCAACACATGCAGCACAAACCAGCAGCAGACCTGAAGCACACAGTCCTGTTTGATGCTGCATCTGCTCTGAGATCCTTACTGGCTGACTCATAAAATAAAATAAAATAATAATTAGGGCTGCAATGAGATCAATTTACACTATAATACAATCTTACCATTGTGGTCTAGTTTCTGATGCAAATATTTTAATACACTTGAAATAACTTTTCAGCAAGATATAGAGGCTTGGTTTTAGTAAATAATTCCTTAATATTGATGAAAATACCAGCTCTATCGGTAGATAAATTAACTTATAACATGAGAAAATGTCTTGCTATAGGCTAAATAATCTGCCAGTAGAACAAGTACTTTTTACAAATTAATGATTTAAAACAAGTCTCAATTTCTTGATAAAGTGACTTGTAAGTTAGTTTGATCTAATTTTAATTGTTCTAAGATATTTTCACCAGAAACTAGACCAAAAAATATTTGGTAAGACTTTGTGTTTTTGCAGTTTAGTGCCCTGGTTGTTTTCTTTTTAAAACCTGAACTTTGCTGCCAGAGGTTGAAACTGAGGCTGTTCACACTGCAGCCTGAAGTGAGCCAGTTCTGATTTATTTTGACGAAATGCGACCTGCATCTGCTGTTTTCATGACGGTCTGAACAACACAGGATGGCCTCACACTGCAGCCTGACCCAATTGCAATATTTTGTCAAATCAGATTTTATTCACACTGCCACACATATGCGACCTGGATGTGTTCTCCAGTGTGAAGGGGCAAAGGACCTGACGGTGTCCCGCATGCGCAGTAGAGGGCGCTGTAACGTCAGCGTTCTCAGTGTTCTGCCAATCGCTACAAAAAGACGTGCTCAGTGTTTGCGGAAGTAAACATGGATGCTAACAGTGGAGTTAGCATCCTAATTTGAAGTTGTGGTCCAACCGGAGCAGCAAATTAACAACTTAATCCTCATCACAGGCCGTCGTGGTTGTTACTTTTCTTCCTGCTTGCGCGTATCAGGGTGCAGAATCGTGAGATTTGTCCAGTATCAGCGACGTTCAGGTCAGATGAATGCAACTTGATCGTTAGGTCACATTTGAGTCGGATATGCAAGGGGTCTGAGTGGCATTAGAAAAGAATCCGACCTGTGTTGTTCAGACTGTTGTGAAAAGATCAGATACGGGTCGCATTACGTCAAAAAAAAAAAAATCGGAATTGGGTCACTTCAGCCTCAGTGTGAACGCAGCCTTCGGTATCCGATACGTTCTGATTCTGCGTCCTGTTACTCACAAGCGGGAAGAAAAACAGCAACCATGATGGACTGTAATGACGATTAAGTTGTTAATATGCTGCTCAGGTCAGACAACAACTTCATGTGTGTGAGCTACGCTCCACCGTTAGCCTCCATGTTTACTTCCGTAAACACTGAGCACTTCTTTTTATGGCGGTTGGCAGAACGTTATAGCGCCCTCTACTGCGCATGCGGGACACTCAGGTTGTTACACAGTGTTCTCACACAGGAGAACACAAGTCGCATTTATTTGGAAATGTGAACGACGCCGGACGACGTAATTGGGTCACTTCAGACTGTAGCGTAAACGGAGGCTAAATGTCCTTTTAGGCACAAGCATCTCAGCCCAACCAACATAAAATAAAAACACACCACTTCAACCTTTTTACATTTTGTCACTTCAGTTTGTTTTACTGGGATTTTATGCAAGATTTTATTGAAGTTTTCCAAAAAAGTCAATACTTTGTAGAACCACTTTTTAATTGAATTACAACTGCAATATTTTTGAATATTTAACCCGATAAGATTTGCTGTACTTGATTAAAAAAAAAAAAGCAAGATGCTGCCACCACATGTCTCCATTAAGGTGATGTTCATTGCGATAAACAATAATGTTGCTGTTTTGAGCCCATTTTCAACACTATTAATGGCATAAAAAAGAAAGAAATGTTTTTAAGATCAGTAAATTTTAATTATTTGCTGCAACAAACTGCGATAGGAGATCGTCTATGCTATGTTTGAAACAATTTTTTGACGAATCTTGAATAATTAAAAATTTTTTGGAATCAATAAACTGATTGAATTTTAATTCAACACTGGAACTGGAAGAGATTTTAAATTAGCTAAATTAAAAACAAAAACAATAGAAAGATGAGAAAAATAAACGATGCAAATGCAAATTATTGAGCTCGTTTTAGTTCAACATGCGATTAATTGATTTATAGCTTAAACTGATTCTGTGTCTTCAGTTTGGCTGGATTAATTTCAGGAGTTTCAGAATAAAATTGAATTAGTTCAAATGCGCGCCACATTTTTAAGATTTGGACTTGTAAAATAAATAAAGTGAAACCATTTTTTCATTTCATATTTATACACAACTTTGTGTTGATTTGTCACACAAAATCCCAACAAAATGTCTGATTGTTTTCCTTTTAATGTGACAAAATGTAAAAACCAGCTGACTCCCCCACAGTTTGTGTTCCTACTTAACAAAAAATGTTGACACTTCAGAGTCAAACGTTCTCACTGCAGATAAGCCGACCACTGTGGGTGAGTGTGTTGCACATGTGACTGAATATATAAGAGGTGTCTAGTTCTTTTATCTAAGCAACAATCAAACTGTTCAAAAGCTACACGACTCAAACATCTGATCATTTCTCTGAATCACGAGACTCGTCTGAGGAACTGAACCAAACATGCAGTCGGGGGTTTCACCCCGTTCTGTGGCGCCTCTGTTGCCCCTAAAACCATTTAATTACTGTGAAAGTTAAACAACAGGAATGTAGTTTGGAGTCCAGTGAGTTACTGGTGTCCTCAAAAGGAGATGTCTTTGACCAGCTTGTACTGGTGCTCTGTGTCTGTGCTGGCACACTTAACAAATGACATGGCAAGAGTTCTGGTCTGGCTGAGCAGATCTTTATCGCTGCACCAGGGGAGCAGAAACCAGGGAGGGGGAACAATCGGACGAGGTTTCAGGGGAAGCAGAATGAATGAAACGGGGGAAATGGGATGAACAGAAAGGAGGGTCGAGGGAGGAAAGAAAGGAAGAAAGGATGTCAATACATCAGTTCTCTAACGTGGCTGAACAGCTTTGACTTTTCAAGACAAGCACAGCAGGAAGTGTTAATGAAACACAGGTCACTAAAACTCTGACTTCAGGCTGCAAACATGTTGGTTTCACTGGAAATACTGGAGCGGCGGCTGATGGAGAAGAAGGGAAATGTAGAAAAACAGATGAACGAGACGACGACAGATGAACGAGACGACAAAATGCGGTTAGGAAGAAAAGAGTTGGTGCACACTGCTGTGGCGACAGATTCAAGGTTAAAATAAGATAAAAAACAAACTAAAAGGTAAAATATCTCCCATATCAGCTGGGAGCGAGAGTGTACTGCAAAAACTAAAGGATAATGAGGATTTTTGGTCCAGTTTCTAGTGCAAATATCAAACTTGAAATAAGACAAAACTATATTTTTGGAGCTTCTTTTAAATCAATAATTCCTTATTGATAAAAAGTATCAATTCCACTGAAGCCTGAAAAAGGCAACAAATTTTCCTGAACAATAAATGATCCCAGTAATTATTGCGATAAATGATAATATTGTTTTTAATTAATACAGCTCTGGTCCACTTAAATTAATTAGTTTCTTTGATTTTACTCTTGGTAGGTAAATGTTTTAGTAAAATGAACTTTGATCTTTTATCTTTTACTAAATATGTCTCTTAAAATTACAAACAAACATTTAGTATTTATTTGCAGCAAATGAGAAATGTCAGAATAAAGAAAAAGATGCAGAGTTTTCAGACCTCAAATAATAATAATAATAAAAACGCAAGTTCATATTAATTTAGAAAGAACAATACTGATGTTTTAACTCAGGAAGAGTTCAGAAATCAATATTTGTTGGCATAACCAGGAGGTTTTCAATCAGCGCAGTGGACTCTTCGTTTTCTCAAAGCTTTATTTTTATAACAGCATAATTCAAGTTTCCCATCTCAAAGGGGAATAAACTTTAATTTTGTTAAAAGACAAACAAAAAACACAACCTTGAAGATGTTTTAAATATTCAAAATAAAAACAATCAGAAGCTACAAATAAAATGAATTAAGACATCTCTAAACAAAATGACAATGAAAACAATCAATAATTTGATATGTAGCAATAAAATGTAATGTTTCAATGGTTTAGTATGACTTTGTATTTTTGTGTTTTTTGAGCACTTTGAATTATTTATTTTTTTACAAAAATATATATTTTTTCAAAATATAAATTTTTTTTAATAAAAAAATTTAAATGAGAATAGATTTTAAAAAATCTGAATGAAAATTATTGTGTTCTCTTTAATTTGTTATACAATTGATTGATTTATTACTTGGTTCCACTGTCAGATTGTTTCATTTATTTTTACTTTTTCATCAATATTAATGAAATACTATTTCTCACTAAAAATGTAATTTACATTATTTTTGTCATATTTCAGTGTTTGGGGATATTTGCACTATTAACTGGGCCAAACTAGATTCTGTTTTTGTTGTGTGATGGACAGTAAACAGAGTGCGAGTCCGGCCTGCTGAACACTTAGAACCAATCACATCACAGAGAAGATGGAGAATTAACCAATGAAGAGGGAAGGAGGGCGGGATGAAGAGGGAATCGTGATCCATCAACAAACCAGCATACATGTCGAGAATGGAGGACGACATTTGAGCATGCATGAAAATATCTGCAGTTTATCTCCTTATGAATGAGAAATGGAGGACGGCAGGGCTTTAATCGTCAAATATTCATGTTTAATCACATCTGATGCCTGAAAATGAGCGTTTTATTTCCTCAAAATGCCACGTTTACATTTCATGTCTAAATGTAAAGAAAATTAAATAAAAAGGAATTACTTTCTAGATCCTCTAATCAACATTTTAAAGAATATTTAAAAAACGTTACATTTAAAAACTAATAGAGAAAAATTGTGGATCATTTACCAACATCGACCTTTAATGAATTAATTAAAAATATAGATGACATTTTTTCTGAATTTTACGTAAACCAATCCACTGTAATCTGAAGAATCTTAATCTATTTTAAGGCTTTTCATCTACATTTGAAAGGTGCTGAAACAATTTACTCAGAACAAAAGTAAGAAACATTTTAATCTTATGAATCTCACTTTGAGGGCCGGCGTCCAGCAACTTTTAGATGTTTTTCAGCTTCAATAAAAACAATCAAATTAGCAGGACTTTGAAGGACATTGGGGAGCCAATTAAGCCACTTAATTAAACCAGGATCACTTCTTAAAGACACAGTACGCCAAAGAAAACCAAATAATCAAAGTAGGCAGCAGAAAGTCTCACCTCTGCTCCAGCTGCTTCATGGTGGCGGTGATCTGATTCGTCTTCTCCTCCAGGCGACTGATCACGTCGTTCTTCTTCTTCATCTCCTCATCAGACGACTAAACGGGAGACAAAAGAGCTGCTTTCACACACAGGATGCATCGCTTGCTAAAGTGTGTGTGTGTGTGTGTGTGTGTGTGTGTGTGTGTGTGTGTGTGTGTGTGTGTGTGTGTGTGTGTGTGTGTGTGTGTGTGTGTGTCATTACCTGCATCTTCTGGTACATTTCTACATTGATAGCTTTCACCTCATCCAGCTGATGCCTCAGTCCAATCAGTGTGTCCTGTTCATAAAAAACACATTTTCCATCTCTAATTATCAACAGAGGACCAAAAACTTTTCTTGAGAAGAAATACTTCAGCATATTTGTACTCGGGTAAGTGTGCAGAAGTATTTTGTAAAAAGTCTCCTCAAGTACTGAGTAACTGATCAAATTATTAATCATTTAATATTTAAAAATTACAAATCAAAATATTAAGTTATGTGGAAATTTTTGTATTTTCAGGACAAAAATTACAATAATTGAAATACAAAACAAATATAATAAAATCAGGCAAAATCAATGTTTCCAAATCAGTTTCTTTCAAAATAAAAGTTTAGTGAAAACTGCAGCTGTGTCTTTGTTTGGTGATTTTTTTGGTTTAAACATGTTTGTTTTTCATTCAGTGGGGAGAAAATCCAAAAATTTTACTCAGGTAAAAGTAAAGAGTGGCTCTTACAAGTATATCTTTTCAAAAACGTTACTAAAGTGAGTGTAATTGAATAAATGTAAGTAGTTCCTATCTGACCTGTTTTTCATGAATGTCTTTCTCCAGAAGCTTCATGGCCAGCTCCATTTCCTGTTTCATGGACACCTGAGCGACCAACTCGTTCTCCACATCCTGAGAGCGCAAACAGGAAGAACATGTGACCTGCTGCTTAATTCACCTCATGCATATTTAACGGGTCCATTACACACAGCCTGGCCAGACCTGTCTGAGCTGGCACTCTTCTTTCAGCTGCCTCCGGGCCTCGTTGTACATCTCATCCAGACCCTGACGGGACTGCTTGTAGGTGTCCCGCTCCACCAACGTGTCGCCCTGAGTCACCTGGAGGGAGAACATCAGGATCCAGTTATACGGCTGCACAATGAGGCTCAAAGTCAGACTTTAAACCTTTATTCTGCAAAAGAAATTACAAAATTAATGGAAACATGTTTGAAGACGTTTTTCCGACTTCTTCTTGTGATTTGGACGACAAGGTTTCAGAGACAGGCTACGAGAATTTACAATAAACAATAGAAAACTATTTAAGAGCTTTGGCGCTGGTTAAGAGATTCATGTTGCGTATTCTTAAGTTTAAAATGATTTCAAAGAAATAGGATGCAAGCGATGGATGGATGATATGGACTATTTTAGTAACAGTATTTTGTGTTTTTTCTATATTTTTTATTTTTATTATGTAAAAGACTGTGAATTACTTTGTTGCTGAACTTTATTTGGACAAATAAATTTGATAAATTACTGCACTAAAAAGTAAAATATGTAAAAATTCAGACTAAAATTGAAAAAAAAAAAACTTCCCAAAATCTGGCAGAACCCAGCAGTCATAAACACCGATTAGATAAACAATATTTTATATTCCTGTAAAAACCGATGGAGCAGCCTTATCGAGTGTTTTATCAGAACTGGTACCAGTTTGTGATAAAAGTTTTCCTTTCAGTTTAAACAATCTCTGGTTTTACCTCCAGATGATGATGTGCCTTCATCAGAATCAGGTTGTTTTCGCTCCTCAGCTGCTGGTTTTCCTCCTGCAGTTTGATGATGTTGTTCTTGGCTATTGCAAGCTGCAGACGCGCACACACACACACACACACACACGCACACACACACACACACACACACACACACACACCACACACACACGCACGCACACACACACACACACACACAGACCGTCACCATGACAACGCTCACTCTGTCACTGATTTCTGGAGTTTGCGGTTCTTTAGCGTCCCTCACCTCCTCTATGAGTTTGGAGTTTGATTTCTCCAGCGAGTCGACTCGGCTGTGGAGACCGTGGACCGTGGAGCTGCTCAGGAAATTAAAAAACAAAAAAAACATATAAAAATAAAAAAAACGAGACTCGTACAAAACGTATTTCTGATTGAAGAACCAACGCCTTACTTGAGCTGTCGATTCAGTTCTTCTACGTAGTTCTTCTGATCTAAGATGGACGCTATCTGGCTATTCCTGTTGCCATGGAAACGGAAAAAGAGAGAAAGCCGTGAGTCGGAGGCGGCGGCGCGAAGCGGCGGCGGTGAGCGGCCTTACCTCTCCTCGCTTCTGTAGTCGTCCATGTCGTTCTTCAAATACATGGAGAAGTCGATCACTCCGACCTGAAAGGAGAAGCAAATAGAAAACCATCACTCGAGTCACTTTACTCAGATGATCAAGGAATAAAAATGTCACCAGCAGTTTGGATTTTCTTTAGTTGAAATTCAACTTTAATCAGATTAAATCTGAATACACCTATCATAGGAGCATAAAACACGAGAAATTCAGAGCATTGAAAGAATCCTCACGTCTTTTTTAAATTGTTTTTACCTGCTGTCATATTTAGTCCGTTTTACTTTGAGTTTATTACCGTATTTTCCGGACTATTAGGTGCACTTAGAAAGCTTTAATTTGATAAAAAAACGGTGCCTTACAAACCGGAACGTCTTCCACATTGTTCTGGAGTCGGGTTTACAAATGAACAGAACATTCAGTAGCATTAGCTCCTTATAGAAAATACGGTAAATATTTTTTATATCTTAAATGAAAATTGTATACATGTTTTGTGTAGTTTTGGCTTATTTTTGGCTCCTACAGCATTTCTTCAACAAAATGGCTTCTTTGAGTTTGTAAACTCCAATTAAAGGTTAACTGATTACTGAATTAATAGTTGATTATTGTAAATATTATTTCAGTCCCACTAATCTGTTTTATATGGTAAGCATAACATTTTCAGAGATAAAGCTAAATATGTGGTGTAAAAATATTCATTTTACTGTTTGATGTTGTTTTGTCAGTAGATTACACATTTATTCATGTTACATGCATTTTGCAAAACTTCTATAATTCTCAGAATTTTTTTTTAATAAACCTGAATCGTCATACAGATATAATAATAGAAAATAAAATAAAAGCTAAAGCGTAGCCACGTCGGCTCTTTTACGTCATGACGGCGACGTTTTTAGCTCCTCCACTGGTTGGAAGGTGTTTTAAAGCCACAGTTACCTGAGAGTCCAGGTCCTCGCCTTTGACGCAAAGGTTAGCGTCGATGACGTTCAGGCCCACCAGCAGGCCCACGATCACCGCCCCCTCCTCCTCCAGCATCAGCGCCGAATCCTCGTAAAAATCGCTGAGGACGGACATTGGACAGACTCTCAGCAGGAGGCTCTAACGGAGCGCTGCGGTCGGTCAGAAAGCGGGTCGTACCTGAGCAGGTCTTTCCGAGTGATGAGGAGGCGCAGGTAGTCGGCCAGCCGCTTCTGCATGAGGGCCAGGCGGAGCCAGGCTCTGGCCCGGCCCAGAGGGGTCCTGCAGAACACAGAGGAGCTTCACGTCTGTCTGCTGGCACTGAACAACTTTATTCAGACATGAGAAAACTTAACTACAATTAACCTGATAATTAATTAACTTTTTCTTTACATCTGATGTTTATTCTGCGTAATTATGTTATTATTCAAATTCTCTAAAAACTAATTTGTAGGTTTTCATTAGTTGTAACCCAAATCATAAATAAATTTATTAATTTAATTAAATTAACATTTTTATTATTTAATGGAATAATTAATATTTAAATAACAAGGTAAAAATCAAACTATTCCAGCACCAAATTTTGGAGATAAAAAGAAAAACAAACAGCTAAAAAATTCACTATTATGTATGTCGATTATTACTGTTCTTGTAATATGTTGGCAGTTTTCTGCATCCTACAGCAGCACAACAAAACTCAAATGTAACGAATAGTTTTGAAACGAAACGCCTCGAAAAAAATCATTTCAGTGACGTTTAACTGCGTGGCAGCCTTTAATTTAATCACAGATCAATAACTTGAGCCATTAGGAATAATGAATATTCAACATAAAATTTTAAAAAATGTCCTCGCAATTTTGTTTGGAAGTTAGCAACTAGAAATAATTTTGGTGATTCTAAACTAAAATCAAGAAATTTTAGTTTGATTTAACTTCAAATATTAGAAGAATGAAAATATCTGGTTTTCGGAATTTAAATTTAAATTGACTTCATTACAAAACCACAGTTTGAATATCAGCCACTGACTCTATGCAGAATTCAAACACTTTTCAAACTGAAACTCAAGGATTTTCAAGGATTTAAAGCGCCTGTGTTTAGTTGTTTTGTGTGTGTAGTTTTCACAGAACCGTTCTAAACGTGTGAAGCTTTTCCTTCTGTCTGACTCGGCGCCACCAACAGGAAACGGACCGGCCCTCCAGCAGACAGACCACAAATGTTCCTCATTTTGCTGATCAGAGAAACAATAACTGAATATTTCTCACGTGGTTCCTGTCTGCAGAGCAGACTGCAGACGTCAAGGGCGTCAAAAGGGCCGTGTCAAAAATCTGATCGCTCTTAAAGGGCTAGAATGTATTGATACGACCATTAAACTGTTAAAGTATCAATAAATAACTGTTTCATTACTCCATTGAAATTAAATAATTCTGAACACCTTCTCACTGATCGGTCTCTATGATTTTCTGACTATTTTTTTCACAAGAACAAATTTTGCTGGTGTGTCCCAGAGCTCAATGCGATAAACGACAACAATGTTTTGAGAACATTTTCAAGTAATACAACAGAAATAATGGCATAAAAATGCAAGAACATATTCTAAAACATTAGTAAACTTTAAATTCTAATGAACATTTAAACACTGGAACTGGAAGACATTTAAAATATTCAAAATAAATATAGAAAACAACAGAAACAACAAATAAATTATTCAATCTATGTGAGCAAAATTATCTTTCAAATCTGGTGTTAGTTGAGACCAAACAGACTGAAGATTTTTATCAGTCAATATTTGGTAAAAGAGAGAAAAACAAAAAATATAGCAAATGAAAATGATTGAGTTTCTTTTCATTTGTCATGATTAATTGATTTATTGTTTATTATGGCAGGCCTAATTGTTTTTGTGTATTTTTGCATTCAAAATCACAGATTCTGTGTAGCTAATTTAGAGGTGTGTTTGATGTTAAACATTGCTTTTCAGTGCTCACTCTGTCAGTTACATGCTAAAATGACATCAAGTAAAGCAGAGGCAGCAGCATCTTCAACCTAATGTCTTTGCAGTAAAATCAGAAGAAATTTGGAGATTTGTTAATTTGTGAAAAATTGGAAAGACTTATTGATGTGATCTGGAGTCTGGAGGGCCACATAAAAAGCTCCGACAGGCCAAATTTGGCCCCCGGGCCTCGAGTTTGACACACGTGGTCTAAGTCTAGGTCAAGAAACTAGCAGTCACTTAGAGCTGACAAAGGTTTCAGCATCTACCTGATGGTGGTGCATGCATGTGTCTATTTATTGTGCAACTGTATAAAAGTGTAGCAGAGAAAGGAAGAAGTGAAGCTGAAAGGTGAAGTGAAAGTAAACAGCACAGGTACTTCCCTGAACCGGATCAGGTCTCAGTATCATGTTACTTCTGTTAATTGCCTCAGATCAGCAGCGAGTCTAAGCAATAATGTGAGGGAGGAATTTAACCCTTACTTGAGGCCGGGAAGATCCCGAACAGAGGCAGAGATCTCAGACGCTTCTGGGCACAGCTTCTCCACCAGCTCCAGAGGACCCCACAGAGACTTGTTGAAGCCCAGGAAGGACTTCTTCACTGGGAACACAAAGAGAAATAAACGAATGAGGGGGAACTGTGCCGGGAGGGGAGACTCGTCCAGGGATTCCCAAACATTTCCATGCCGAACGCCATTAGCTTCTAGTCAGGAAGCCGCTTTTAAAACCCGCAGACAATCAGTCAAACAACGTGAACCGTTAGAATTTATTCAGTAGGGCTGAACGATATGGCTGACAAATTTATCAAAATATTAGCATTTCATATCAGTCAATATCAATAATTATTGATTAGTTTTCTGTTTCAAATCACATAACCTTTCCTGTTTTATCCACAGTTTTCTCTCCACACCTTTGTTTTTTTTTTTTGTTTAAGCAGTTCTGGACCTTAAACTGCAGCTGCACACCGTTACTCAGCAGGTTGTTGCTAGGTAACCAAAGAGTGAGAGCTCGTTGTTGCTAGGTAACCAAAGAGTGAGAGCTCGTTGTTGCTAGGTAACCAAAGAGTGAGAGCTCGTTGTTGCTAGGTAACCAAAGAGTGAGAGCTCGTTGTTGCTAGGTAACCAAACTAACTTTGCTTACTTGGCTGTGAGATGTTGACTGGCTAAAGTCTTTCCTCTGCCTAAATCTCCCAGAATGCTGTGCAGTTCTGGATCAGAGTTCTCTAAAATTATTGATCATTCCATCGATACTGATCGCTTATCTATCGTGTTATTGATTTATTGTCCAGCCTTTCTGGTCAGTGATTATTCATTTCGTTTAAATCTGCCTCTGACTTTGTGATTTCAGTTTGCCATGAGTTGTTTCAGAAAATATTATCAGCTGTGTTATGACTGCTTGCTGCGCTAGTTTAAGAAGCAAAGCATCTTTGTCAATTTGACTGGCAGTCGATGAGAAACACAAGAATGGCAAAAAACATTAATTTAATTCAAATTAATTTCTATTATTGATAGAAAAAGCAATTAAATGTTCTAGAAATGTAGATTTTTTTTTTCTTGCGTTCGCTACAATGTTCTGAAAACGGCGGCGTCGCCCTCACCAACAGATCTGAGTCTCTGTACGGGACGCCGCCTCGCTCACCTCGGAGGCCGTGCTTCAGACAGTGCTCCATGACCACGAAGAACTGCTGCAGAGGCGGGTAGTCCGAGTCCAGCGTGCGGCCGAAGCTCAAAGCCGACTCGATCAGGCCTTTGATGCTGAGCTTCGCCATGTTCAGCAGGTTGGCTCGCTCCATGGCCATCGGGTCACGCATCGCTGTGGAGAATACAGCAAAAACTAAGAGCCCACTGCACTGAAACCTCCTGCTAATTCCAAATATTGGTTTCTGAACACTAACATTAGTGTTTCTGTTTCTAAAGGAATATTAACTGGTTTTATTTGCTTATTTGAGGTCTGAAAGCTCTGCATCCATTTTGTTATTTTGACCATTTCTCATTTTCTGCAAATAACAACTAATTTGAATTTCAGAGACACATCGTCAGTAGTTCATAGAATAAAAGAACATAAAATAAATATATGTTTATTTTATGTTTCATCCATCCATCCAACCATAAACCTGAAGAGTAAAATCAGGGAAACTGATCATTTTCAGTGGTCTCTTAATTTGCTCCAGAGCTGCATGTTGGTTTTTTACAACTCAAAAATGATTCCATGAAAAACACCAAGTTTGGTTTGGTTTTCAAAGTAAACCAAGATCCAGAGGTGAGTAGAGCTCATAAAAACTGGAATGAATCAACAGTAGAACTGCTTTGACATATGTTCACTCAAATACAAGTAAAAAGTATCCAAGAAATTACTCAACAGTAAAAAAAGGTATTTGATTAAAAAATAAATAAATAGAAAGAAATGGACTCAAGTACTGTGTAACTAATCCAAGTATCATTCATTTAGTTTTTAAATATTACATGATGATTGTCCAAAATATAAAGTTAAGTGGAAATGTTGGTAGTTTAAGGACAAAATGACAATAATTTATATAAGTAACAAAAAAAGAGGAAAATGCATTTTTTCCAAATCAGTTTCTTTCAATATAAAACTTGTGAATTTAATAAAAATTGCAGGTGTGTGTCTGGGGAATTTTTGGTTTACAAACATTTCATTCAATCCAGACATTTTACCCCACAGTAGCACTACTTGATCATATTTTACTGAAGTAAAAGTAAAGTGTGGTAAAAATACTCCTAAATATACATTCTTACAAAGAAGTAACTCATGTAAATGTAACTAATTACTACCCAATTCTTTCAAGATCTAAAAAAAAAATCTAAAAAATATTTACTTAATGAGATACCAGAGAAAGATTAGGTCTGTGCTGCCCCTCCCCTACTTACTGCTGCACACTCATCCAAGCTGTTTGCTTCAGACTCTGGGACTGAATTAATTTATACTCAACAAAAAAAAACAAAAAAAACAGCAGATTTATTTACTGAAAGTGTGTTTATGACATTGTAAGAGAAAATCCTGAACTACCCTTTAAAAACACACCATCATTCCCTGTCCCAGTTTGAGGAAACATTTATGTAACGTTTTGATCAACAGCATGATGGTTTTGTTTTCCAGAAAACCTTCAGGGCCTAACCGCAAAAACACAAAACGCTGCCAACTGTTTTTGCTCAAGTTTCTATTGCAAACATTTTAATACACTGCTAGCTTAAAATTTTAGCTTCTAACATGGGAAAAATGTTTTGTTCCACTGGCAGATTGTTACATTTATAACTGCAATCATCTCATAAATATTAAGGAATTAATGAACTGAAAACAAAAAGCTTTTTATAAGTTACTTTTGTCTTATTTCAAGTCTGAACTGCAAATTAGACCAAAGATACTTGGTAAGGTTTTGTGATTTTGCAGTGCGGACATTGTGGTGCGCTTTTAAACGCTCCACATGTGGAAATGTGAGTTAATGTGTAGCTAAATACACCAGAGGACGGAGCAAAGTCAGGAGACGCTGTTGCAGCAGAAAGTTGGCCTGCAGGCAGCAAGGCAGTGATTTTGTAGAAGAAAAAATGAACAGAAGTCAGAACAAAGAAACTGCTGGGAGCTTTAGACACAAACACTTAAACTAACATGAATTTGTGAAAACAACATTTAGACATGTACAGCTGCAGCTGAAATGTTGTAGATCAATGTTTATACCTAAACACAACTACATAGACGGGTCTAGACTTTAAAATTGGTGTTCGCCCTCCAGGCTCACTAAGCCTGTTTGGCATAAAAAAAATGTCCTTACTAGATCTGCTAAGAGTAAAAGACTTGTAGCTGGAATTAAAACAAACAAAAAGAAGTTAAAAGCCTTTGCATTTCAAGATTAGGCACTACTTTGTGTTAGTCTGTCAAATAAAACGTCAACAAAATACACTAAAAAAATACTACTGTCTGCAAGTCACTGGTCTTAAATAAAAGTTAAATTGAATTCAGCAATAAAACAATTAATTTCATGACAACTTAAAATGAACAATTTCCATTTGCATGATTTATTGTTTCTCTTCTTTCCGAGAAATGCAGGGTTTCCCCCAGTGTGCTAGAAGTCTGGCGGGCCACCAGGCTTCATTTGGGCCACGCCAGGCTTAGCATTGCTTATTTATTTAAGATTTTTTAAATGTTTGCATTTATAAGATTTTATAGTTTGTGTTCAGGTATTAATCTTCCAATAACACATGATTATCGAGTGATATTTTCAAAATTCCTGACAACTTTAAACAATTTTTAAATCAAAAACATGCTAGGCCGCCGCAACCACCAGGCTGGACTAGTTTTCTGGGCGAAACCTTTAAATGGATGACAAAAGGCTTCAGCCTGGTGCATTTCTCACTACTAGTCCCTTTTTTGAAGAATAATTTTGTTTACTGATGCTTCATAATGAATTTTATTTACCGTTTTTGTTGTGTTGTTTATTCATTCTGGCTATTTAAAATGTCTTCCAGTTCCAGTGTTAAACATTCATATTAGAATTAAAAGTTTATTGATCTTTAAGAATGTGTTCTTGCATTATTATGCCTTTTTATTATATTAATTGAAAATCATCTCAAAACAACAACATTATTCTTTACCGCAATAACTTAAACATGTTAACATGTTTAAGCAACATGCAAAAACGAAAGGGAATTGAAACCAAATTAATACATTTACTTGATACAAAAAAGGTTTTTAATCAAAGTAACTTGATTTGGTTCATTTTGAAAGCAAGTTTGTGGTGAGGTTAGTGGTGAATTTAAGCCAGCAGATTAAATTTAGCTCAGAGTGGGAGGGTAAGAGGTGCTGCTCAGGGAGCTGTAGTTGTAGGTTTTTGTAGTTGAAACAGCGTGAAGTGTGTTCACGGCATCATGTGAGGCCTCGGGGCAAACAGAGCAGGATGCATGAGACCAGCACTGATGTGTGAAACATCAATTGGTCTGTGGTGGTCATGACCAGACCCAAGAAATATGCAAGTCTAGTGGCTGCTTATGGTCCCCCACATCACCAGGGGGCCCTCAAGAGCACCAAGCTGGCATGGCGAAAACATACATATTTAAAATAACATCAAATTATACAAACTGAATGCAATTAATGTTGCTTTTATATTTGTTATACAAATAACAGTTAATATCTTCCTGCTGCCACAGTTGGGAAAATAAGATTTCATACTTGTTAAATTGCTTAATATCACTTTCATCTTTATCAGCTGATGTTACTTTCCAATAGTAAAGATAATATGGAACACTTAAATACCAGTCTGAATTTCAAAATTCTAATATTTTTATTTTAGTTTGTTACTCCAGTAAGGTTCAAATCAATAACCATAATTACACTGGCATGATGTAAGCTAATTAATGCTAGTAACAGTAGAGAAGTATAGGAATGATGAAGCATCTAGTGCTGATGTTTTGGTATATGGGGCCTAAATCCTCCTAAAAGCTCGCGGCCGGACAGCGCACAGCGTGAAAAGCTCGCAGATTTCAATTGATCAGTTTGGATCAGACAAATCCAACTGATGAACCAGTGCAGATTTCTCTGCAGATTCGACCAGGAGGAATTTGTGAGGCTGTGCATTCAGACTCCAGCGAGTAAAGTGCTCGTAATTAAAGTAGAGTCGTTTAATTTAATTCATTATACGTTATTGGGGCCACGGTCAGTGTTTTTTGTTGCTACGGAGAAAAAGTTAGATGTGTCCATCTGGTTTATGTGTGATGGGAATCACGGTTCGACTAGGTAAATATTAACTAAACCACATAAAAAATACGTCTGAATAATCTATGTTAATATGATTACAACAATGGGTAAAAAACAGTACATGGCGGATATGCTGTCAGTCAAAATGACAGACAACAAAAATGTTGTTTGTTGTCCGTAGTATGTAGTTTAAACAGCGTGAAGTGTGTTAACCCCAGTGTGTAACAAACAAAGGTCACATCTGGAACATGTCATCTCCGCAGCTTAAACACTAAATACAAGTTGATTGTCATTTTTAATTTTAGTATTTTTACTAAAAAATACTAAAATATTTAAAATAACATAGTATTCTACCTGCTTAACAATAAGCTAACTTTACATCCAAAACACAAATGACCTTTGGGTTGTTAACTTATAAAAAAAAAAAAAAAAAGCAATTTCCAAATTTTTTGGGCCATTAATTGTTTGCCAAATTGTCGCCATTCTTCACTTTTAGCCAGGGGCCAAACAAAATCACTTGTGACCTCCGATCATCAGGACGACTTCTGACGGGGCCCCAAATGAAAATCTGATCAGGGCCCCAAAAAGGCTTGCGTCAGCCCTGGTGATGATGAAAACTTGACAGCAGGAAAGACAGGTGCAACAATTTCATTTAGCACCGCCCCACAATGCATACTGTACCTTGGACAGTCCAGTCACCAGGAAGGGAAGTCCTGTGTTCCGACACTTTTGGCAGGACGTGAATGCTTCCTGAAATGGTCTCTGATGCTTTCCTGGCTAAAGCGAAGATTGGAGCCTGCCATCGCCCGTCTCCCACACCACCACCTCCTCCACCTCCACCTCCTCTCCCTGTGCTGCTGCTCGCCTTGTCCCCTGCACCTGACTTCTCCTCCTGCAGCCTGAGGATCCCGAACACCTGGCCTTTCTCCTTGCTGCTGTCCGCCTCGGACAGAACCAGGTCGTGCTCCGCAGCAGCAGATGCCATGTTTAAATATTATCAAAGCTAGCTGAGCTAACACACAAGCTTCTTCACCTCGTTAGCGAGCGATTTAGGTGAGCATAGCAATCAAATGTCCGGGATCCCACCGGTTAAATGACGACATCGGTTGAACGAAAATAAAAATGTAAAAAAAATCAGCTGTCCACTAAAGTTACCCCGCTCCCGGGCGTCAAATAACTCCGAGTTTACCTACATGGTGACCGTTAAAACCTGCTGTCACGGCGCAGCAAACAGGTTCGCACAAAAGGTTTCTTTTCCGAACATCTCGGAGGTGAACAGATTTGTTTACAAGCAGCTAACCAGAGCGACAGTTGGCGTCTCCCCGGTCCAGCGGCTGCGCCCTGTGAGGAGGCGGCGTCACGAGGCCACGAAGCTCACAAAAGGCAGCGAGCAGCACGACGTCATCATTTACAGGCTGCCGTCGCACTGCTGCCCCCTGCTGCCGGAGGCGGGAACTGCAGGGAGGGCGCTGCTCCGACCTGAATTATTACAACTTCACTCAGGGTTTTCAATCAACTTCAGGTATTAAAAAATAGGATTTCTTTAGTTGGAAACGTGTAGACCTTACAAAGGTTTTCCAGCACGTACTCTCCCAAAAAGATTGAGCAACTACATATGCATAAAAAAGACATTTCCCTCACCTTCTTCTATTACAATCGTTTTTCTTTGTGCCGAGTTTTGTTGCAACTTTAAGTGTGAAATAAACTTCAGTTTGAAAACAAAATATGTGTATAGGTTTATGTCTGATTGAATGACATGTGTGCCCAGATGATTTTTTTTTCTTTTTTGGGGGGATTTTACTGTAATCCATAAGGGGACCCAGAAAATCTTTGGGAACCACTGATTTATAGAAACTAAGTGTTTCGGCAGTTTCGCAGTTTTCTGAAAGTTTGGATTGCAAAAACTGAATGCTGCTTCTCCATATTTGGTTCTGGTTCTGGAGATGCAGAGCAGAACCAGAAGACCTCAGCAACAATAGCAGACCTCAAGTATTTCGTGGTTTATGAACTAGCAACAGTACAGAGGATGTTTCATTACTTTCTTTAAAATAAAAAAAATGCACCATAATAACGAGACCTGCTGTAGTGGCTGTGAACCATCATGGCTGTTTGTCAGTAAGGTCAGAGTTTGAAACGGGACATTGGGCCTACCTTGACTGTAAGCAAGGCGCTCCATGCTCTCACTGTGAGTGATGCCCCAGCGATGGAGACTCTGGGGTGAGTACATGCTGAGGGGGGCCCTCCTCCGTCCCCCTAAGAGACGTCCTCAAAATGGTTCGTTCTGCGGCGGATTATGAAGACGTAGCCAGGCAGGAAGGTTTGGTTATTCGTCTGACATCCCAAGTGACCCGATCCTCTGCACGGAGGAGGATTTTGTTATTGCAGCCCAGTTTGGCCAGACTTGATGTGCTCAGCATGGACGCATCTGTGCGATAAAAAGTCCACATTGATCTAAAAAACATCACAGGCTGCAATGAAATGAGCCTCAGTGCAGATCTGAATAACACTGGCTTTTTCTGCTGATTGATATGTGACAAGACCTGGAATAAATGAAGAGCCCACTGTACTGAACCCAATGAAAACCTGGTTTCCACCAAATATTGATTTCTGAACTCATTAGTGTTATTTCTAAATGAACACGAATTGTTTTCTTTGCATTATTTGAGTTCTGAAAGCACTGTCCATTTTCTTTATTTTCTACAAATAAGAACTAAATTTTTTGCTTTGAATTTCAGAAACATGTCAGTAGTTCATGGAATAAGAGAACAATGTTAATTTTACTCAAACATATACCTATAAAGAGTAAAAACTGATCATTTTAAGTGGTTTCTTAATTTCTTCCAGAGATGTATAAAATTAAAAATCCAGTTTTATGCCTGTATAGAAAAATGCTTCATTGATCAATGCATCTGCTCTAATTTTATAAATGAAAAATGTGACTAAATACTGAATTCCTAGTCTGCTATTGTTCGATGACAGAAGTCTTTGTCTTACCCCCAAAACACACAAAGAACGTAAATATTTCTTACCTTTTCTTTTCATAAATAACCCAGTGAGATATTATGTTGCCATAAAGTGACTGAATCCCTTTGGTCTTCCCAGTAAAGTCTACTATTACGGAGGAAGTGCAGCGTTACTCTTCCTCTGTGGTGGTTTTCCTGTTTCTCTCTCTAATCACTTCAGACTGACCACAGATCATATGACCAGTTCAGAGGCCCTTTAGCTGCTTCTGTTCTGCCTGAACCAACTTCCAAAAAAACAAAACAAACGTTTTAAAATATTTCATTCATTCTAAGTCATAATAGAGGAATCTCTATCTATTTATTGTCAATTTTGACAAACTTTTTTTTTTCAAATGCATAACTCAGTTTAAAATTATGTGGAACTTTTGGTATTTTAAGGACAAAAATCACAATAATTCATAAAAGTAGCAAAAATAAAACTAAATAAATAAAAAATTCTCAAAATCAGTTTCTTTAAATAAAGAACATATAAAACTTTAACAAAACATGCAGGCTTATGAAATCCCTAAAAAATCCCTTAAAAGATGCCACAAACCCAAAAACTAATCACTGCATTACTGTTACTCCATGTTACTTGAAAACCAAAGAGGAAACTGGAATATATAACTAAATATTGCAGATTGTAAGCATTTTTTAATACATAAAATAACTAAAGGTTAAATTTGTTATTTCATTTTAAGCCTGATCACTGGCACTGTTATTTGAAAATATTCCTCACTATAACATCATATAAATGCTTTTAGTTTAAAAAATAAAATAAAGGCATATTTATTTAGTCACATATTTATCCATTTTTATGTTTAGATTTTTATGCACGATTGAAGTAACTAGTTTTGATCTCATTGTGACGCTTTTGGACTCATCTCTGAACCACACCTAGCATCCCACTACTCACCAACAAACTGCATGAATCCCAGTATCAACAGGATCAGCCTCCTTTATAAAGACAAGTAAACCAGCCAATCACAGAGCTTTTGGATTTCCTCCACCAATGAGCACAGGATGCTGTTTCATCGTAGTATTACCCTTCACTGACTGCAATCCTGCAGACAGTGCTACTATTCAAAACACTGATGTTATCATAATTATGATTTACATAAGGAACACGTTTTAGCTCAACTTAAATAATATGACCCAGCGACTTTATCAACTTCTTGTTTCATACTGACGCACCCTAACGTAACTGAATACATGTGCATCCCTGCAGCTCACGTCGAAATGAAGAAGCACAACAGTAATTCTCATTTAGCTTGCCTGAAATCTGTCCAGCTGCAGAGGATGAAAGCGGTAATCAGCAGCTCTCAGATGTCCCAAAGTCTCAATAAACTTCCACCTGTCCACGGAGGGCTGCAGCCAGAGAGCTGGTGCATGCTCCGAGATATCACCGACAGAAACCACAACCATCACCCCACAAGACACCCAATGACAGGAGGCAGGGAGGCTGGCAGAGGGGAGGGGAGAGGAGGGGATAAACAGCAGGAGAGATGGAGGCTGTTTGGGGGAGAAATGAAGCAAATATGTGATGAGAGAGATGCAGACTTACAGAACAGAAAAACCAGCGAGAGAGTTTTACTTCTTCGCATATGTAAAGTCTCACGTTAGCAGGATGTTTGAGTGAATGTAGAAAATGATGAATGAAAACGCCACACCCATTACCAACCAATCAGTGAAGAGAACGAGGAGGCGGGACTTGTGAAAGCAGCAACGTGATTGGCTCGCTTTGAAGTGAATGACGATGCGGATAACTGCACTGCTGGAAAATAATCAGTGAGGAGGAGGCTGCAGAGAGTTTGATGCAGAATCATTTGAATAAAACTGGCATGAATTTTACATATTAATTAATTTTACTACATTCATGCAAAATGAATTTTTAATGGCGGTATTATGGTGTTACTGGTTATATCCCATCTTTCAGTTTTTATGCAAAAAAAAAAAAAAGCATCCCCACATCATGATCCTGCCAACACTGTGTTTTGCCACATAGATTGTAGTTTAGGGTGACATGGAGATTGAGTTTTCCCTCACAAAATATCAAAATGTCACATTTTAGTTCACTGCATAATCGTTACGTTTACTTGAGTAACCTTTTGGGTAAAATGTAATTTCAGGAGTATTTCTTTACTATGCTATGCTTTTTATTTGAAGTAATTTTACTACTCTTACTTCAGTAAAATATCTGGATTCTCTATCCACTGTTTGTTCTTCACAGATTAAAGAACAAACAATAGTTTAACCAAAAATACTAGCAGTTTTTGCTCAAATTTAATAAGTTTTACAATGAAAGAAACTCATTTGAATTTTTTTTCTTTTGCTTGATTTGTATGTAATTGTGTTATTTGTGTAAATTGCTTTAATTTTGGTCTTACCTATACAGAAATTTCAAACATTTTTTATATTTTTTGGATGGCTACTTTTTACTTTCACTGGAGTAAAAGTATGTTGGAAGTGCCGCTATTTGGGTGGCAAACTGCAAACAATTATTCCAATTATCTTTTAACAATGTCTTTCGTCTTGACTCTTCCATAAATACCATACTTATGAGGTAAATAACTAACAGTTGTCCTGTCAACCTGAGTCTTGTGCTGCTGAGTTTTTAACAATATTCACTATTAATTGTTCATTACAATTTCAATCTATTAATTGGGCGATCAACAGGTCTCTTATCTAAGGGTTTAGTTAAGGAGACTGAATATGCATTTCAGGCTTTTCAGACTTTTATTTACAATATAAAAATTTGTAAAAAAAAAAAAAAAAAAAAAAAAATTTCCTTATACTTTGATTGCTCTATCAAATAAATACATGTATGTTCGTGTTGTGAATAAATGTGATAAATGGATGTGAATATGATTCCAAGGCACTGCATATGTCTGAGTGAAAGCTGCTGTATTATGAGGAAATAAAAATACACAGCAAACTTTATCATGCGGCAGGTCAAGTAGTGTGTCACTGGAGCATTTGTGCTTTTCCCTTTAATTTTTAGGTGACCATAAAATAATCCAATAAATGTTTGACTATGAGGAAATGAGTCAGGACTGCTGTAACTTCTTCCTCACTGACTTCTTAAAAAACGAGAAAAACACTTGTCGTTACATAAATAAATGTTGCGATTGTGTGCGTTTTCAGTAAATAAGAGTGAAGTCTTTTTCCTTCCTTTTAACCCAGCCTCTGAAGATTAGTGAAGTAAAAAGAATACCAAAAATAACAATATAAAAATAATCATTCACAACTTATAAACATGTATTACAAGCCGACTGTCTGAGGGACAGTGCATAGATAGTGTAGTGATCCAGACCCAGATTTTAGTCCTCAAACTCTGCAGCATAAAGCACCTGCTGGAACTTCATCCTGACCTCCATCCTTTTTTTAATGGTGAGCCTCTTCAGTGA